GATTGAACAAGCAAATTCTGGGCACCCATGCTCCAGATTATGAGGATCTTGACGTGAAGCCTGTTCTTTCCATAGTTGAGGATATCCTGAAACGTGGCAAACTTCTTGACACCGTTCATGTACAATGCTAATTAGCTTTTTCTTGTTCAGTACTACCCAATCTTTGCTGCCAAACATGATTTTTTCTAGACTTCATCCTTGGCTTCATTTAACTGACACTTTTATATGTTTATAATATAGGGAGCTCAAGTTCCACCACATTCAGAGTCATATGATAAGTCCTTTCAAAGTGCTTACCACGATGCCGAGATAGTTCAACTGTTGGCATATCCCATAAACAAAATTTCCTGGGAGGTATAAAGAATTTCTGCTTCTCTCGTGCTCAATCTTGATTATCTTAAAAGAAAATCATGCACCATTAGTCAATTAACACTTTCACGTGATTTTTAGCATTAGTCTCGTAAATGCTGCGTAAAACTTGTAACAAAGGCCTAGCAGTGTATATGGAGACACAAACTTGGAATTTGGGAAGTATATAAACCCCCTTAAAAAAGACGTTGTATTTAAATTGTCAACTCAAGATTATGAATGTTTAATGCAACAGATAATTTGCAAAATTCCCTCTGGAGAATCACATTCAATAGCCATTGGACTTCTTGAAGCACTGTCAACATACGCATGGGATGCCAAGGTGGTCATTACCTTCGCTGCTTTTTCTGTCAGCTATGGTGAATTTTGGCTGGTCGAGCACTTGCGTGTGAAAAATCAACTTGCCAAGGACATTGCAGCTCTCAAAGATATACCTGAAAGGATGGAGCAAAATGAGGAAATAAGAAAGAAGATTGATGCTGTTGCCAATCTTTTACAGGCTGTACTGACCGTGACTCACATCATTATAAAGTTCAAGGAGCTCCCCACTCAATACATTAACCGTGATTCACCAGAAATGGCAACCGCGACTGCTCACATTCCAACAACTGTTTATTGGATCATAAGGAGCATTGTGGCCAGTGCATCAGTACTCCTGAACCTTGTTGGCAGTGGTCATGAGTACGTTTCCTATTGTGCCTAATGAACTAAGTAAATGAAAACAAGAAACTAGAATTTTAAACACATTGACAATTGAATAATTTTGTTGGGGATCAGGTACATTACCTCAACTGCTGAATCCTGGGAGATATTAAGTCTAGCTAATAAGCTCTCCCACATGTGTGAGCATTTGCGGAGTCAACTGGAGAATTTGAATGGTATTATTGGTAAGTCACCAACAAATCCACCCTGATATCCATACTGCTTTTTTTTCTTTTTTTTTGTTAAGACACGACGAATGATAATATGACCCAGAATCACCGCAGACTTCTAATTCATTTCTTGAATTATGGCTATTTATACTATCACTTAATTGACTGTGTTATTTTACAGAGGCAAAGAAGAGAAATGATGAATTTACTAATCTGAGAAAACTCTTTGAGACATCTCACATTGACAACATGAAGATATTAAGGGCAATTATTCGTGGCCGCGAAGATCAAATGCCAATCTTCGATGGGACTAGAAAGATAACTGTTGTCTCCTTACTTGTCCCTACTACTCGAATTTCTTGATCCCTTCCAATTATGCCTAATGTGACCATATTTTTTACATTTTCCTTATGACAGGAACGCCTCGATATATTGAGGATGAAGTATGTCTTGCTACTAATTTCAGACCTTGACCTTCCCCACGAAGAGCTCAACGTTCTCCATCTTATTTACAACCAACATTCAATGAGGCAAGAATACGAGGTTCTCTGGCTCCCCATTGTTGACCAAGCAACATCCATGAGCCCAACACAGGATAGAGAATTTCTCGATCTTCGTAGCTCTATGCCATGGTATTCCGTGGATCATCCTTCCTTGGTTGATCCAGTAGCCATTAGGTACATGCGGGAGATATGGAATTTCAGCCACATGCCTATGCTCGTTGTCTTGGATCCGCAAGGAAGAGTGTCAAACGTCAATGCCTTACCCGTGATGTGGATTTGGGGAAGTGTTGCCTTCCCCTTCACTAAGGAAAGGGAATTGGGACTATGGAGAGAGAGTACCTGGAATATTGAATTACTAGCAGACTCCATTGATCCACGTATCCAGGAATGGGTACGTACACCATCTTTCACCCTAAATTATTAACTCTCTTGCTGCAAGCATCCATCACTGATCATCATGCCGTCATCATAACCAGAAATATCAAGATTGCTAATTGTCACACTGATGCAACATAGAGGG